AAGAAAGAAAGAAAGAAAGAAAGAAAGAAAGAAAGAAAGAAAGAAAGAAAGAAAGAAAGAAAGAAAGAAAGAAAGAAAATTCTTTAAAAATAAAGTGGGGAGAAAGGAAGCAAGCTCTCTCATGGGTCTTACAAAGGTAATAATCTAATTATGAGGGCTCTATCCCCATGACCTAGTTACCTCTCAAAGATTGATTCTACAAACACTGTCACATTAGCATTGGGGTTTCAACATGATAGTTGGAGGAGGGCATACATATGCAGCCTATAGTATAAGATGTGGTATGGTTATTTTTTGCCATCTTAGAAAGTACCGAAAGCTAATTACTAGAGCAAAAGGTAGGACTAAGGATTTAAAGGCCCAGCAACATTTTTTCTCAACTGAATCAAATGCTACAAAACCAGTATCAGTTATGCCTTCCCAACAGATGCTTTGGAGGATCTCAAGGTAGCCACCATTAAATTGAGAAAAAGAATAGGGGCTTGGAAGTTAGAAAGTACAGTGGGGCCAGTCCATGGTGGCGGTTAAGGCAGCTGGATTCCAGAACCAGTGGCTTGAAAAATACAGCAGGCATGTGTGCATGCATGGCCAAAAATCTCAGGAGGAGGGTGAAATGGAGGAGATGGAATTGTGGTATGATGATGCTCTGTGTGGATGCTTTTTTTGTTTTCTTTTTCTCGGGCAAGCTCATGGGCCCTCTGGCAAATTAAAAAAGAAGTAAAAAAGTTGGGGCCAGTGGATGGTGTAATGGTTATGTTGCTGCATTTCCTCATAGTCAAAAGAGGCTTGAGTCCTGGACCTGGTGGCTTAAAACTCAATGCTGTGTGGTTGTGGGTATATGCCCAAACTCTTGAGAATGAAGGAGAAGGGATTCTGGCATGGCCATCCCCACTGTGGGGTGATTTCTTGTTTTCTGTCTCTGTGTCTTTGGCAAGTGTATGCACCCTATAGCCAAATCAATCAATCTATCTATATCTTTAAAAATAAATCAATGTAAAGCAAAGCAGATTTGAAAGCTATTTCTACAGAGAATTTTTGATATGAAGAAAATGCATCTGAAGCCTGATGAGTTTTAAGAAAATTGGCAAAGATACCATGAACTTTCCATTGTGCATAGGTATCGTGCTGCTTAATTTAGTGCTAGGCATATCATGTAGGTTGATCTTTAATTGCCTCTTTTAAAAAATAAGATTCAAAGGATTGTTATAATTAACCAAGATACATGAGACATCTAGCCCATTGTCTGGCATCTGTTGAAGAACCCAACAAAATGTTTATTTTCCTTAAAATCTACCTGCAGCCCCTTCTATAATAATCTTTCCTATGTCTTTTTAGCATGTAGAGGATAGCACAATTAGTTTCTTTTAAAAATATAATTGTCGGGACCAGCAGTTAGCGTAATGGCTGTGTTGCTGGACTCCCACGTAGTCGACCGCGGTTCGAGGCCCAGACCCGGTGGCTTGAACTTAGGGGCGCATGTGCGTGCATGCCCAAGATCCCTAGAGGAGAAAGGAGGAGAAGAGATTGCGGCATGGCCATCCCGCCTGGGGGGGGTGATTTCTCGCTTTCTGTGTCTCTGTCTCTGCCTGTTTGGCTAGCGCACGCACCCTATAGCAAAAACCTCTCTAAAAAAGAAAAAAATATATATATATAATTGTCTAGGTTAATTGCTTCTTAAGAGAATACTGTCAGAATGAAGCATACTGCTTTATGGCTTATTCATAATTAGTTGTCAACAAAAGTCTGAAGTTTTAGTGTATGTATATCAAAGATGACTTGGTATTTATGTCCTGTTTTTTATGTTTTATTTTTTTCTTTTGGAAGTTAAGTGAAATAGAATCTTTTCAGTTAGAGATAAGGAAGTTAGGATCTATTTACAGAAATAAAAGAAAAATAAAGGGTTTAAAGACATAATGCCTACAGATTTGTAAATGCCTTGCTTAAGAACTGAAGAAAATGTTGATTCTACAGTTTTTGTTCTTTGGGAAATAAATAATGTAGTCTTTGAGTAATTATAGCATGACCTCTGTAGTGTTCTTGGACACAAGAATGAGGAAGCCCAACATTATTGCCTTATTTGGGCTTATGTACAATCTTGATGTTTCCTCAGTACTAACTCTGGACCAGTTTCAAATACAAGTCATTTTTTAAAAAGTTTATGGGTATTATATCCAGGTTTTTGGTTCAAGTAAGCACAGTAAGATTTATTTCTAAAATTTTAATTGAATATAAGGAAATTTTGGGAAATCTTTTTTTTGGGGAAGAGGTTTTTGCTACAGGGCGTGTGTGCTCGCCCGAAAGATGGAGAGAGACAGAGAGAGAGAAATCACACACACCCCCCAGGAGGGATGGCCACGCCGCAATCCCTTCTCTTCCATTGTCCTCTCGGGATCTTGGATCTTGGGCACGCATGCACACGCGTCCGGTGTGAGTTTAAGCCACCGGGTCCAGGACTCGAACCGCAGTCAGCTATGTGGGAGTCTGACGACATAGTCATTACACTAACTGCTGGTCCCAGGAAATTTTGGGACGTCTTAAACACAGAAAAATGAAGCTTTATTTAAAGGCTATAGTACCTGAGGTGACCAAGTATCAGTTTGATATTGATTTAGTTTAGATTAAGAAATTAAGGAAACCTCTAAGAGAAAGAAGAAAAAAGAAAAAGAAAAGCATTGAGGCAAGCCAGTTTGTGTCTGAAAAGTTATGTAAACTGTAAAACAAAGCATTACCTAATACTACTAGTCTCTTGGTTTCAGGTTCTCTCTCATAAATGTCATAGCACTTTAAACAAGGATGTTAATTCTCAGTATTCCTCTTTTGTTGGAGCATCACCTGTCTAGTGGAGCTGAAGTAGAAACTTACAGAATTTACAAAAAAAAAAAAACCTTAGAAGGAATTCTTAATTTTTACTTTGAAATAGAAAAATTTTTAAATACAATATTACACTATTCTTCTGAAGTAAATGTTTTTACATATACTAAGCCATCATTAAAATATGAAAATTTTAGGTATAAATCACTTTGATTAACTTTTATATTGTTCAGTATTCTTAATAAAATATTTATATTTGTAATTGTTACTACAGAAAACTGAATAAAAAATTCTAAAACTTTATACCATCTCTGAGTATTTGATTGATTTTCTAAAATGTCTTTTCTTTTCCAAGTTTTACTCAGTGAATGTGGATTACAGCAAACTGAAGAAAGAAGGTCCAGACTTCTAAATGAAATGTTTCACTTATAAAGCTGCTCATAATGAAGGTCTTCCAGAAGCCATCCGCACAATTTTCCACTTAACCAGGAAATATTTCTCCTCTAAATGCATGAAATGATTTTGATGTGTCCAGATTTACACTGGTTAATAAATATCTGAAACTTGGTTTGTGTCATTATTTAATGCTGAAATTCTGCTCTGAACTTTATAAGTAGGGTATAGGAAATAAAACATAATTTCTTTGTGTTTGTATAATTTGAAAATACTACTTTAAACTGTGTTAATAGAGTACTTTGATTTTATGTATATCACATTTATTATTATAACATGATTAACAATTAGAACTAGATCTTATGTAAAAAGTAGACTGGGGGCCAGCTGGTGTCTTGGTGGTTTAAGTGGCTAAATCCTGCGTGGCCTACAGCACAGTTCAAGTCCTCAACCTGGTGTCTTGGATGGATGCCCCAAATCCCAAGAGGGTAATGGAGAAGAGGTTGTGACCTTCTCCCTCAGGGACTGCTTTCCCATTTTTCTCTCTATCTCTGGCAAGTGGAATGCACATGCTCTATAGCACATTTTTTTTTTTTTTAAAGATTGGGAAGAATATTTAAGTCTCTCTGACATTGGCAAAATGGAAACTTCTGGATTTCTATTACTGACTGATGTTGAAGTGTACATTTGTTAATGGTTTCATTTCAGCATTGTTATTGCTGAGGATTTTCAAGGTTATTAGTTCTGGTCCTAGAATTACTGTTGGAATTTTTGTTTTTTTAATGTTAACTATGGAGCTAGTGGACAAAAGAAATTGAAAATTGATGCTACTGAATCTTAGCAGTCTTTCAAAGGCTGTGAGTATATTATTGGCTATTTTAAGGTAGGGAAAATGGGAAAATTATCTTTTAAAAAAAGAGCTATGGAATTTAAGTTGGAGAAATGTAACTAGTATATTGATATTACCTGTTAAAGGGCTCAGAACTTTTAGCCAAGTCAAATGATTCAATGAACAGAAATTTTTAATGATGATTAATTAAGAATTAACTATCGCCAAATTTTCACATTGCTCTGTCTTTGTGTCATTATATCATAAAAACTTGAATTTTGGATTTTACTACACAAATACATAATTAAATATTTACAAAGCAGTAAGAACACATTTTCATGTCAGGAACTGAAGTAAGCATCAAAATTACATGGGATTATCTCAAATACTTAAGTTTTTTTTCTTTTAAACATTTGAGAAAATTTATGACTTGGATTAAATTACTTGAATTTATTCTGTTAGTCACATAGATATTTGAATCCAGGTAGTCTTGAATGTAGTATACAGTTTATTTGATTGCTTGACACCATAGTTGTGCTCCTGTATCACTTAATTTCAGTCTCTAAAGCAGTTTTTCACCCTTACTTATATTTTGAGGTGGTCAGTTTGTCAATGTAGTGGACTGCCCCATACATTTCAGCATGTTTAATAGTGACCATGATTTTTGCTACTGCAGACCTGTATCATTTTTCTCCCTTCTTCAGCTGGTGGAAAACAAAAATGTCTTCAGATCTTGTTAAATGTCCTTTATTGGGCAAAATTTTCCTGTTCTTACCTCTTGAGAACTATTCCTGTAGGTACGTTTTGCACATAACCAACCTCAAAATTAAAAATTGTGAGAAGAAATAGGCTGACCCTGTGACCCCTTGGTTAAAGGAATCCAGGTTCCACATGGCCAACTTAGTTTCAAGTCCCTGTTCCAGTGGCTGGAAAAACAGCCAGGCATGTATGTGTGCGTGCATGTTCCCAAGCCCAATAGAATAGAGAAATAGGGTATAAGGGATTATAGTGTGACCATGCCCCACTGTGGGGTGCTTTCTTTTCTTTCTTCTATCTCTCTGATGACTGCATACCCCTTTAGCAATGAAAAAGTGTCCTTAGTTATAGTCAAATAATTGAAAAGCATTTTATTAGGTAATTCCTGTATGTATAGCATTTTGTAGTATTGATAATTTTATAGATCTTTAAGGATCCCTAAAATAGTATCTTTGTATTCAGTGTCTGTCCTTGGACTTTGCCATTTAAGCATAAAAGTTAAATTTGCCATGAAACACACTATTAAGAAATTATTACTTTATTTAAGAAACTACAGTGGATTAGAAATGTCATTTAATGCATCAGTTGTCAATGCTGTCAAGAAAGATAACATGGTATTTTTTTCCTTGAATTTATTTAAAATTGCTTTTATTGTGCTTGCTTAATCAGACCAACAGCTTTTTTTTTTTTTTCTCCCCATGTTTATGAGGTTACCAGGCAAACTGTGTTTAACTATAGATGCTTTCTTGGGTAGCATTTATCTGTATCTCCCTCCTTTTGGAATTTGGGCATGCACAGACATGTGCCCAGTATGTTTCTCAAACCAATGGTCCTGGGACTAGACCACTGTAATCAGTCATGTGGAATCCAGCTGCCCCATGCTGTGAGCTGGCCTCTGGTAGACACTAAAAACAATTTTTTAAAAATGGTGAAAGTAGGACCAGCAGATGGCGTAATGATTGTGTCACTGGATTCCCACATAGTCGACCACAGTTTGAGTCCTGGACTCGGCAGGTTAAACCTCATGCTGGGTGTATGTGCCATGCATTCCCAGGATTCTGAGAGTAGAAGCGAAGGGATTGCAGCGTGGCCATCTCCCATGGGGGGTGATTTCTCATTCACTCTTTCTCTGTCTCTCTGGCGAGCACACAAGGCTTATGGCAAAAATCTTTCTCTCAAAAAAAATGCATAAGCTATGGGAACCAGCAGTTAGCATAATGGCTATGTCGCTGGACTCCCACGTAGTCGACCGTGGTTCGTGTCCCGGACCCGGTGGCTTAAAACTCACGCCGGGCGCGTGTG